GGAACCCCGAGCGTGGCAGCATCCAGAACGCCAAGCAGGCACTGCGCAACATGATCAACTCCTCCTGCGACCAGCCGCTGGGCTACCCCATCTACGTGTCACCCCTGACCACCTCCCTGGCCGGCAGCCACCCCCAGCTGCGGGCGCTGTGGGGAGGCCCCATCAGCCTGGGCGCCATTGCCCGCTGGCTTCTGCGCAGCTGGGAGAGGTGAGCCCTGCCTGGGAGGCCGCGGGAGGTGGTTTGTAGAGGAGGAAGCAGGACTCCTGGGGCTTACGCAGCTAGCTGCCTCCTGGGCTGCGGAGGGAGGAAGTGCTGGAGGCCAGATTCGAAGCTTGAATCACAGAGTGTATTGATGACACTGCAGTTTCGACAGCCAATCCTTTCAGAGACGAGACTGTCTCAGAGACGTGGGGTGACTTGTTGGGGGCTGAGAATTGCTGCCTGTGAGGCCCCAGCCACATCCCTGACCCTTCTTCCCTCCCCACCTCTAGGCTACATAAGGGCTGTGGAGCCGGTTGCAATAGTGGCGGGAACGTGGATGACTCGGACTGTGGTGGGGGCAGTGGCAGCGGCTTGACCGCCCTCAGCAATAACCCCCCCTTGGCACACCCCACGCCTGAGAACACAGCAGGTGAGAGGCGCGGCTGAGCAGAGCCCCCGAGGAGGACGGCCCCTTGAGATCTCTGCCCATTTATCTGTCTTCCACAGGCAGCGGCGACCAACCCCTCCCACCAGGCCCTGGCTGGGGGCCACGGCCTTCCCTGACCAGCTCGGGTGATGGGCGGCCTCCCCCGCTGCTGCAGTGGCCACCTCCTCGGCTTCCCGGACCACCTCCTGCCTCACCTGCCCCCACTGAGGGTCCACGGCCCTCACGGCCCCCTGTCCCTGGTCTGCTCAGTTCTGAGGGCCCCAGTGGGAAGTGGAGCTTGGGCGGTCGGAAGGGACTGGGGGGACCCGAAGGGGAGCCAGCCTCAGGGAGCCCCAAAGGAGGCACCCCCAAATCTCAGGTAAGGGAGCTGTGGGAGGCAGGGGCCCAGGCAGCTCAGGTCTGCTCTCCTGCCAACCATTTTCCCCTATGCCAGGCACCCCTGGACCTCAGCCTCCCCCCGGACGTCAGCACCGACCCCTCACCCCCCAGAGCAGCTCAGGACAGTCCCTGCTTGGACAGCTGTGCCCCTGAAAATGGCACCCCCACGGGGCCCCCAGGCGACTGGCCTGCCCCCACTGAGGAACGGGAGAGCCCCGCTGCCCAGCCGTTACTGGAGCATCAGTACTGAACGCCAGCCCCGTGGGTCCCATCCAGGACACAGTGGCTCTGACCCCGGCTTCTAGCCCTGTCTGCTGGACTACAGAACTCGGTGGCTTTGGCTCCCATGTCTGAACCCTGACTTCTGGCTGCCTTGGCCAGAGCTCGAGAACTGAGTGGCCCTGGCGTCTGAACTTGATCCCTGGTTTCATTCATAGGCCAGGGCTCTCTAGACTGTGACAGTCAGCCTCCAGGCCAGAGAGCTGAGCCCATGGGCTGGGCCCACTTGGAGCCCCTGGCCAGGACTGACTGTACCCTGGCCTGCACTGCCGCAGGCTCGGCCTCCGGGCCTGGACCTGAAACACGGGGAGGGAGGTTTCTCTTTCTTTTGGTCTTTTTTTTCCTCTCTTTTTTTTCCCCCTCGTGCTTCGGAGACACCAGAATTAATAACACTATTTTTGATTTTGTTTGACAGTTTCTCATTCTATTTGGGAAGGTCTAAGGAAGGGCGAGGAGGGGCATGCCCGATGGGCTGGGGGATGCTATGATGGTGATCAGGTCAAGCCTGGGGGGGGGGGGAGGTTGGCCAAGTCAGGGGCCCCACCCAATGGGGTGGAAATGCATTGTGGAGGTGGTTTTGATTTTGTTTGACAGTTTCTCATTCTATTTGGGAAGGTCTAAGGAAGGGCGAGGAGGGGCATGCCCGATGGGGTGGGGGATGCTATGATGGTGATCAGGTCAAGCCTTGGGGGCGGGGGGAGGTGGCCAAGTCAGGGGGCATACCCAATGGGGTGGGGATGCAATGATGGTGATCAGGTCAAGCCAAGGATGGAATTCAGGTTGGCCTGGCCCCCTTCCCCAAAAGCTCCCTCTCAAACCTTTCCTGGAGGTGGTTTTGCTCAATCCCCTCGCCCTACATGGTAACCAAATGTTGGCAGTTCAGATCCACCCGCTGCTATGCAGGTGAAAGATTGACGTTTCTTCCCATGAGGATTTACAGCCCAAACCCAGGAGAGGCTTACCATGTGCCGGAATCAATGGCAGTGGGTTTGGTTTTAGTTAATATATTCAAAGGCTTGTAGCGGGAGCCTTTCTGCTATGTTTATACCCTTGACCTTGGCCAAGCCCTTTAGCTGAGCATACCTTTCTTCAATTGTTGAGATGGCACCTGCCCAGCATGCATGATGCACAAAGGAGGCAGCCTGGGTGGAGCGGGCACGTTGGTCCTGGCACTTGGCCAGTTCTCCTGAGCACCTGCTGTGTCTGCAAGGCTGGACACTAGGTGGCCTCCGTTAGCTGTCCCAACTGGTCTAGGAGGCGGCATATGTCCTCCCGCTTTCCGGCTGAGGAAACGGGCCAGGAGTCTGCACAGCGACTGGTGCTTTCCTGCCCTGACCTGGCGCTGATAGGTGAGCTGAGCCGGGTGTCTGGTGCCCTGCGACCCCAGACCCCACGCAGTTGCCCTCCTGGTAAGCCGGCTCCCCGCCCGCTGCGCCTCCCACCCGGCGGGAAGCCCCGCCCCTCCCGAGGCCCCGCCCCCGGCGGCAGGCCCCGCCCCCGGGGAATCCAGCGGCGGGAGAGCGGGCAGCGCCGGAGTCCAGCGCGGGAGGCGAGCGGGCGGCTGGAGCCGCGGAGGTACGGGCGGGAGCGGGGACTGGAGGCACCTCGGCCGGTCCAGACGGGGGTGAAGGTGGTCCTGAAGTGAGCCCGGCACTGTGGGTGGGGAAGGGAGTCTTTGCCCCCAGCACCCTCCTAACTTCCCAGGGGGTCACGGCGCCAGTTTCCAGCCAGCATGCCCAGATCTCTCTCTCTGGCCGGCAGCCCTCGCTCTTCAGAGTGACGGCCCAGGCAGGCTGGACTATGGGGGAGTGGACGCGGGGCTCCCTTCGGGGGCGCTGTCAGCTGCTCTGCTGCCAGGGTGTGCGGGGCTCCCCCTGTCCTGGGGCTCCCTTCCTCCCAGGCGGCTTCCTCCTGTGCCTTTGCGCACTGCCCGCCCCGAGTCCCAGCCCGCCCGGCCTGGGAGGAAACATCTGTCGCGCCCCCTGGCCACAGAGTCAGGGTCACGACCTCCAGATGTGCTGGGAAGTGTCCAGTGCCGCCTCCTGGGGCCACAGCCCTTCCGGATCTGTGGGGGTGGGGCTGGCCTCCTTCTCAGTGACACAGGCCTCGAGGAATGTCCTGGCCTCAATGGGCCCAGTGTGAGGCTGCGGGGTGGGGGGCAGAACTCCAGAACACCCCCAAAGCAGCGTCACACCCGGCACCAGGCCCAGAGGCTGACACGCACAGCACTCACTAGTGTGTATGGATTTGGGCCCAAACGCCCCCCCCTGTACTCCCAGCACACCCCAGCCCAGGCTGGCTGACATGTGCAGGGCTGCAGACAGGGAGGGGGCCCATGCATCTGCACTGAGCAACACTGCTGGCTTTATCCTCTGCAGTCTTCCAACAGCCTCAGAGGGGACAAGAATTACCCCATTTTAAAGATGAGGAAACAAGTTCAGGGTCAGGATCCAAACTTGTCCTGGAAGAAAACTCCCTGAGTGTTGGAGGCCCACCCCACCCAGGCTTGGTTCCTGAGGTCCTGGCCGAGGGTGCACAGAAGCCCTTGCCCCCACCCCGGCTGTCTCAGCCCCACAGACATCCTGTCAGCAGGTACCTGCCCTTCAGCAGAGGGTCCGTCAGCCACCAGCGTCATCCTCGGTTCACAGGGGTGGCCCCCACATATTCTCACACCACCTCTGCACCTGCCCCCCGCTCACCACATTTCCGCACTCAGCAGGTCTCTGGGGCCTTGGGTGCCTCAGTCTTACATCCTGTGTGACCTTGAGCCTCAGCCCAACCCCCCCACCCAACCCACCTACACACCCAGGGAGAGGACTTGCAGGTGCAGCACCCCGCAGGCCCCGGGGACTAAAACTCAGGTTCAAATCCCTGAACTGGGGTGGTCATAAAGAGTTTAAACGTGACAGTGTTAGTGAGGCCAGGTAGGCAGGGGTCTCCACTGGCTCCATCAAGCAAGGCGCCTAGGCAGCACGGCCATGCTCTGCCCTACGTGTGGCCAGTGATCTGCCCGGGGGGTTGACCTGGGTGTGACCTTCAAGATGGGGGTGACTTGGGTGACCCCAGCATCTTCCTCAGGATGTGGGTCTGGACCCAGATTTGGGGCCACTTCCTGTGCTGAAGGAAGTCCTCTTGCTCTCCCTACTGTGGGAACCCTGCAGCCTTGGGGTTCCAGGCAGTGAGGGCTCCAGAGCTGAGCAGACCTCTGGGTGTTCAGTGCTTCAGGGAGCCTGGAGGAAGTGGGAGGGGCAGGGAGGAAGGTCTCTGGGGACAGGACGTCCTCCTTTTGTCAAGTGGGCAGGACCCAGACCCCAGCTGACCTGAGTCCTAGCCTAGTTGCAACTGTCCCCTTGCATTGGGGCCAGGCTTTGGTGGGGGACCCTCACTCCAGAGCCTGGCCAAAACCATGCTGTGTGTGTCAAGGACCATGGCCCCTGGCGGTCAAGACCCTCAGGGCCAAGTGGTCCAGCCAGCACTCAGCTGGGGGAGGGGGCTGGAAACCTCGGCCCCAGGCAGACAAGGAAGTGGCCAGGAAAGCGGAAGCGGCTTTGATGGTCATGGAGGGGGCCGGAAGCCAGCCCGGGTGGTGGAGGACCAGGCTGGGGGGCTGGGTTCCTGTTTTTGACACAGGCCCCTGTGAATAGCCCCCTCCTCCTTCAAGGCAGGAGCTGCTGCCAGCCGGCCGACTGGGCACCAATGCGGCCCTGCCCCCAAGAGCCTGGCCCACAGCACGCCCATGTGGGCCGGAGGCGCGGGGAGCCCTCGGCGGGGCCCACCCCCGACACCCACCGATGACCTCTTCGCCCGCAAGCTGCGCCAGCCGTCCCGGCCCCCGCTGACCCCGCACACCTTCGAGCCCAGGCCCCTCCGCAGTCCACTCCTGCGCAGCGGCAGTGATGCTGGCGAGACCCGGCCCCCGGCGCCCACCAGCCCCCGGGCCCGCGCCCACAGCCACGAGGAGGCCCCCCGCCCCGCGGCAGCACCCACCCGGCTCTTCGCGGACCCCCTGGCGCTGCTGGGACTGCCGGCAGAGGAGCCAGAGCCCGACTTCCCGCCGGTGCCCGAGCCCCGCTGGTTCGCTCACTACGACGTCCAGAGCCTGCTCTTCGACTGGACGCCCAGGCCCCGGGGTTCGGGCCCGCACTCGGAGGCTGCCCCTGGTACCCCGATCACCACCGATGACCAGGCCATCAGCTCGGACCTGCTGCTCGGGGCGCCTGGCTTTGTGAGCGAGCTCGGGGGTGAGGGGGAGCTAGGCCTGGGGGGACTAGTGCCCCCACCTGTGCCCCCCGCACTGCCCAACACGGCTGTATCGGTGCTGGAGCAGCCACAGAACCGGACTGCAGCCTACAGCCTGGAGCACGCAGACCTGGGCGCAGGCTACTATCGCAAGTACTTCTATGGCAAAGGTGAGGACGATGTGGTGGGCAGAGGACAAGGACAGGCCTGGGCGCCTTGTCACTTGCAGGGCGCACAACGGGGGCTCCCTGCAGGCTTGGCTGCCCTCGGGGTCCAGCTTTAACGGCCTCAGGAAGACCAGCTCCTGCGTCCACTCATGACCAAGGTGCCCCTGAGCCGCCCACTGATTCATCTTCATACCCCACTGAGGGCCTGGGAACTGTTATTCCACTGCCACCCATAAGGGAAGATTCCAGAGTGCACCCCCTTTGCCCCCCACCCCAGGTCTGGTGGGCAGGGCCAGAGCAGGAGCTGGACCCGAGAGCCCACTCCTAGGGTCTGGTGTCCACACAGGGCTGTGTGATGTGGGCGGGACTAGAGTAGGGGGCGTGGCATGCTCAGAGGCAGGGCCAGGCCCTGTGGACTGGGGTCTCAGCCCCTGTGGATTGGGGTCTCAGTCCCAGTATGGGGCGGGGCCTGTAATGGGCTGGGCTGATTGGGTGGAGCTGCGGGAGGTGGGACCCATCCCCACTGTCTGTCCGTCCCCCCGCTGCCCCCCAGAACACCAGAACTTCTTTGGTCTGGATGAGGTGTTGGGCCCAGTGGCCGTGAGCCTGCGGCGGGAGGAGAAGGAGGGCAGCGGAGGAGGCACGCTGCACAGCTACCGCATCATCGTACGGACCACGCAGGTGGGCTGAGATCAGGGGATCCGGCCGTGGACCACCTCCTCCACTTCTCATCTAGATCCTGAGTACTCTCTCACCCCCTCAGCTCCGGACACTCCGAGGCACCATCTCGGAGGATGCGCTGCCACCGGGGCCCCCAAGAGGCCTGTCCCCCAAGAAGCTTCTAGAGCATGTGGCACCGCGGCTGAGCCCCACCTGCCTGCGCCTGGGCTCCGCCTCCCCGAAGGTGCCACGCACGCTGCTCACGCTGGATGAGCAAGTGGTGAGTGTCCAGGGCGCCCCTACAGCTAGACCTGGGCTAAGTCAGCTGGCCTTGCCCCCAAGACCCTGGCCCTGAGTCTGAACCTGGGGTCAGCGGTCACCCAAGAGAACTAGCCTTTCAGGCAGGACACAAGAGACTGAAGGACCAGCAGCATCCACTTCACCTGGGAGCTTGACAGATTCTCTGTCCTAGAGAATGAATTAGAATCTTGGTTAATGCCCCTGCACTTCGCCCAAGCCCTCATCCCTGCCACTTTGCCCTGCAGCTCCTACTCCGTCTCCTCCCAGTTTGGGATGGGGACTCCTTCTTAGACCTGTTTCTCCCGCTGCTGGAACTGGAAGCCGTCTCCAGCCTGTGTTACATCCATCTCCAACAGTGTGCACTAACCTCTGGCCTTGAAAATGCAGTGTCATCCAATCCATTAGTCAATCCATACTTTTCTCACAACTTCTTGGTGAACATGACATGAGCAAACCAAGCTTTCCCCTCACAGCTGGTGAGGGAGACAAACCCACAAGCTGATCACTGAAATACAGGAGTTAGGGGAGCAGAAGAGAATGATGAGGTGCTTGCCCTCCCCTGACCAGGAGTTGAGTATCCTGGAGGAAATGAACAGCTCAAGTCTTGATGAGCAGAGGTTCTCTGGGAAGAACCAGCAGCTTACCCACAGGCTTCTGGCTGAAAGCAAGCTGCAGAGTCCTCTCAGAGGCTCAGTGTGCCTAGAGCAGGACTAAAGGGCAGGATTTGGAGAAAGACATGCATTTGGTCCTGAGTGCTCGAGGGAACCACGGGTTCAGAACTGATCTGGGAGTAGAGGGATGCTCTGGATGCAGCATGGTGGGGACGTGCCCGACTGGAGGGGCTTTCAGCGTCATGGAGGCCAGACATAGTGGTAAAGACGGTGGTGGCGAAAAGGTGCGACCCAGGGCTAAGGTGGGAAGGACTTGTGACTGATGAAAAGTTACAGGTGGTCATTGTGAGACTTCTTGGCGTTTAGAGGTTGTGTTTTCATGAGCCAGAGGCCCTGTGGGGGGGTGGACTGGGACAGTCACAGCAAAGAGGGTGACATGCTAATGGCAGCTAGAGATAGAGGAGTCAGGAGCTCAGAGAAGGGTCTGGGCTACAGGCAGAAATGTGGGTGTCATCCTGTGATGGCAGTCACTACAGCCATTGAAGGTGAGAGGCATGGGTGGTGAGTAACCCCCAGCATGACAGGAGTGTCCCTGAGGTCCCCAGGAACAGTCCCCAGTGCAGCTGTGGTCCAGAGGATGCCAGGATGGTGTTCTTTGGGCTGCAGGCAGGGTTGAGGAGCTGGGGTTGGAAGTGGGGCTTCATAGGGTGGGGAAGGATGAAGGGGAAACTCGACCACAAGTGCAGATGGCTGAGTGAAGGAGGGGGCAGGGGTTGGAGATGAACTGGACTTGTCTTAAGGGGGTTGATACTGGGCCAGGCAGACAGTGAATGTGCTGGAGCTCAGCTTAAGGCCTCCATTGGTGGGGCTGGTGCTGGAGAAGGTGACAATATGACTTCTTTTGGGAATATGCAGACAGGAGCCTCTCTGAACCAACCCTACTCCCTCACCTGGGTGCTGGGAACAAGACAGACTGCACCCCCCCCCTTGGTGGTCAAGGACATAGGTTGGCTCAGGGAAGGCCAATGCTCAGGTCTGTACCTGGGGCTGCCCTTCTCCCAAGCCAGCATCCTGTCCAGCATCTGGTCCATTCTCTGGAACAGTGTGTATGTGTGTGTCCGTCCATCTTGAGGCCTGTGCCTTTTACCTGTGCCCTTCTCCCCCTCCCCTCAGCTGAGCTTCCAGCGCAAGGTGGGCATCCTGTACTGCCGGGCGGGCCAGGGCTCGGAGGAGGAAATGTACAACAACCAGGAGGCGGGATCCGCCTTCACACAGTTCCTCACCCTGCTGGGCGATGTGGTGCGGCTCAAAGGCTTCGCGAGTTACCGGGCCCAGCTGGACACCAAAAGTGAGACCCAGAGGAGTGGGCAGAGGGCTGGGGGTGGACCACACAGAGGGGCAGGATGCCATGGGGGAAACTTTCCACTCCTTGGTCCCTTATTCTCCACGGGCTGGACCAGGGGACTTTTTTTATGCAGGTTAAGGATGTAGATTGGGGACTGCGGAAGATAAAGCTATGGCTGGGAAGAAGGAGGGAAAAGGTTCTGGTACCGCACTGCTTGAGCAGGGATGGGGAATTTGGGAATTCCAACCCCTCCATCAAACACCAGCTCCGTAGAAGCAGCCCTGCTTCCTGGTTGGTATGATCCCAGGCAGCCTGGGAAGGGTTTTTATCCAGCCCTGGAGGTACAGTGGTTAGAGGATTTGTTAGCTGTAAGGTTGGCAATTCAAACATACTGCCATGTCACTTTGTGACAGAGATAGGGCAGTCTGCTGTCATAAAGATTTAGTCCCAGAAACTCTAGAGGCAGGCAGTTTTGTGCCATAGAGCCCCTATGCGTTGGAATGGATTTGCTCACGGTGTGTTTGGTGTCTTGGTTTCTGTCTCCTGCCATCCCCTCCCACGGCACTTCCACACATGCTGTGGCTGAGTTTGCCATCTGCTGCTCCTGGGACACCTGCCTCGCAGACCCCTCGCAGCCAATCACGGCTATTTCTGGCCTCATTCTATCACAGTGCCCCATCCAGATCGCAGACGGGGGTGTGGAGGCTTGGGGGAATAGAAGGGGATCAGTCCTCACTGAAGCCCCTAGACCTCGAGGTCAGGTTGAGGGGCACCACGGAATTGTCTGCCACATGGATTGAAGCCCTTTGCCAGGAGGTTAGGGGCCAGGGTTACTGAGTGGGTCAGTTTGCAAGTTCAGACCACTCAGCGTCCACACATCCTTCTGTGTCCCTCCTGGCCTCAGCGGACTCCACCGGCACGCATTCACTCTACACCATGTACCAGGACCACGAGATCATGTTCCACGTGTCCACAATGCTGCCCTACACCCCCAACAACCAGCAGCAGGTGTGAGAGGGCTGGAAGGTGGGCCAGGGCTCCTGGGCAGCCATGGAGGGGTGTTGCACTGGTGGGAGTATTTGAACCTAGGCCTAAGCTCTGTTGACCCCCAACAATCCTCCCCTTATGCTGGCCCCTTCCCCAAAGACAAACCCTCAGGTCTTCACCAGGACCAAGTGGGCAGGTGGTCCCCGTGCTCTGGCCTGCCTGAAGGTGGAAGTGTGTGGGGGCAAGTGTCCACCCTCACCCCTCACCATCTAACCTCCAGCTCCTGAGGAAGCGTCACATTGGCAACGACATAGTGACCATCGTGTTCCAGGAGCCTGGCAGCAAGCCCTTCTGCCCCGCCACCATCCGCTCACACTTCCAGCACGTGTTTCTGGTGGTGCGGGCGCATGCGCCCTGCACCCCGCACACGTCCTACAGGTACACAGCTTGGAAGCCCCGCGTCTCCTGTAGGCAGGGTATCCTGGGCCCCCTGACCTCTGCCTCCTTCCCTGCAGAGTGGCCGTGAGCCGCACCCAGGACACCCCGGCCTTCGGGCCAGCTCTGCCTCCTGGCGGGGGTCCCTTCCCTGCCAACGCTGACTTCCGGGCCTTCCTGCTGGCGAAGGCCCTCAATGGCGAGCAGGCGGCAGGCCACGCGCGCCAGTTCCACGCCATGGCGACACGCACACGCCAGCAGTATCTGCAGGACCTGGCCACCAACGAGGTGACCACGACGTCGCTGGACTCAGCCTCGCGTTTCGGCCTGCCGTCGCTGGGTGGAAGGCGACGCGCGGCCCCTCGGGGTCCGGGCGCTGAGCTGCAGGCGGCGGGCGCGCTCGTGTGGGGGGTGCGCGCGGCCCCGGGAGCGCGTGGCGCCGCTGGGGGCGAGGCGGACGGCGCCGAGGTGCCTTGTCTGCTGGGCATCTCGGCCGAGGCGCTGGTGCTGGTGGCGCCGCGCGATGGTAACGTAGTCTTCAACTGCTCCTGCCGCGACGTGCTGGCCTGGACCTTCTCAGAGCAGCAGCTCGACCTGTACCACGGCCGCGGGGAGGCCATCACCCTGCGTGTCGACGGGCCCCCGGGCCAGGCTGTCGGGGAGATCGTGGCGCGCCTTCAGGTGAGGCAGCAGAGGATGCAGCTGCCCGGGGTAAGGGGGTTGCCAGGCGCCCCCTCCCGTGGCCTCACCTGCATTCCTGTGGGGACGGGTGGGGGCAAACCCAGCCAGCTTGTCATTTAGCGTGAGCTGGGTTTTGGGGACTTTGGCCGGTGACTGCAGGGGTCTTTATTCCTGTGACTTGGCTGGTGACTTAGGTCTTCATTCCTGTGGGGCGGAGGGGGATGTTGCAGTGTGCTGCTGGGGTACTAGAAAGTTCCCGCTGGCCTGGGGCGGAGTCCCTCCTCCGGGCACCCCGCCCACCTCGCTCCCCACCCCTGGATCCCTGCAGCTGGTGAGTCGGGGCTGTGAGACCCGGGAGCTGGCGCTGCCGCGAGATGGCCAAGGCCGCCTGGGCTTCGATGCAGACGCCGAGGGCTTTGTCACACACGTGGAGCGCTTCACGTTCGCCGAGACGGCGGGGCTGCGGCCCGGGGCGCGCCTGCTGCGCGTGTGCGGCCAGACGCTGCCACGACTCGGACCCGGAGCCGCTGCCCAGCTGCTGCGCGGGGCGCCCAAGGTCTGCGTCACCGTGCTGCCCCCCGACGAGACCGGCCGGCCGCGCAGGTCAGGGCACCGGGACACAGAGAGGGGACCGTGACGCGGGCCACTGCGGGGTCTGGGCCTCCCAGGCCACCTTGGTGTGCTCCTGGGAATCCCAGATGGACACCTGTATTACATGGTTCAGTCTGTGGGCCGCAGCTTACCTCATGTGGAGAAGGGAGCGAATTTAGTACAGTGCCTTCCCTGATCAGGAAGGAGCCCTGGTAGCTTAATAAGAAAAGTAGGAAGAGGTTGGCAGCTGGGCTCCCTCAAGCGCTCCGCTGCCGCCGCCGCCGCAGATAGAGCCTCATAAATACAGTCTCAGAAACCCGAGGGTCACGATGAGTCATAGCCAACTGGAAGGTGGGGGTTTTGTTTTGTTTTTACTTTCTCTCCTCTGAAGATTCAGCAGCAGCCACTCCCACCTTTCAAGTACCCCCCCTCCGTCCCCCCAACAAACACAGCTGCTTCCTCACAGTGCTAGGAACTGGTAGATTTTTTTTTTTTTCTTCTGTAAAGGGCCAGATCACACCTTGGAAGTCAAGGTTAGAAAATATTTCATGCAAATTCTCTCACCCCTCCAAGGACAAAGTCGAGGGAAGAATTAGAGAAAACTTTCACAGGGACTAGACTTGGAAGCAGGAGTGGCATCCACTTCTGTAATAGCTCGCCTCCGGAAACCCTGTGAACCTGGAGAGGGGATGAGAGACACCCAAGCGTTGAGGGCTCCTTCATAGGGTCGCTATGAGTTGCCTGCGACTCGACAGCACTTAACAACAACAAAGGGCCAGATAACAAATATTTTAGGCTCTCTGGGTTGTCTCGGAGGAGCCCTTGGTGGCACAGTCATGAAAACTCTCGGCTGCCAACCAGAGGCCAGCACTGCTCCATTTGAGAAAGTTCTGGCAGTTTATTTCTAGATAGATTTTAGCCTTGGGGAACCCATGGGGGCAGTTCTACTCTGTCCTGTAGGGGTTGTTAGGAGTTGGAATCGCAGCTGCAGTGGGTTAGGTTTCAGTTAGGGGCCACTGGTCTCTGTCACATCTCTGCCACCACAGACAGTCTGTGAGTGAGCATGGCTGTATTTCGGTAAAGCTTTGTTTATTTCTGAATACTGAACTTTGGGTTTTATATCATTTTACAGGTCATGAAATATGCTTTCACTTTGTTGTGTGCCGTCGAGTAGAAACTGACCCAGAGGGTTTTCAGAGGCAGTAAATCACATGGGAGGAAATTGTCCATCCTTCTCCCATGGAGCAGTTGGTGGATTCGAACCTCCTGTCTTTGGGATTGCAGCGTAACTTCTTACCAGTAGGCCACCAGAGTGTCCTAACATTAATATGGCTGACAGCTGTACAAACACCAGCTGTGGTGTGTGTGTGGAGGACTTGGATCCCCACATTGTCGTTTCTAGGTTCCTATGCTGAACATTTACATCTGTGCTGCTGTTAAATCGCGACCATGTATGAGGTTACAACTGCAGTCTCGTTCTACAGGTGCAGAAATGGAGGTTCTGAGTGATTTTCCCAGGATGCACAGGGGTAGTGCTGGGATTTAGATTTAGATCCAGGAAATTGGACCGCATCAGACAAACACGTCTCAAGGAGGGTCTGAAAGCTCCCTGAGGCTCAGGCCCCCTGAAATCGGGGGTGGTAGGGGTGGCACAGCATGCTCGGGGCGTGGGGGGCTCCATCTGGCCTGACACTGCCCTTCGCCCACCAGGAGCTTCTCGGAGCTGTACACGCTGTCTCTGCAGGAACCCAGCCGGCGGGGTGCCCCCGAGCCTGTACCTGATGACGCCCCTGTGGTGGCCCTGCTGCCAGCCACAGAGCAGCTCCTACACCTGTGCCTGCCCGATGGCGGGGGTCCCACGGCGCCCGGGGACCTGGCTGAGGAGAGGACCGAGTTCCTGCACAGTCAGAGCTCACCGTCACCCTGCAGGTGCTGTCTCCTGCCGCTTCCTCCCCCTCAGCCATGGCGCACGGCTCCCAGCCTGAACTGGGCCCTGCTCTCCCCAGCTCCCTGTCAGACGAGGCCCCCGTGCTGCCTACCACCACCCCGGACCTCCTCCTAGTCACCACAGCCAAGCCTTCAGCACCTACTGCTGGCCAGGAGACGCCCCACACCCAAGTGAGAAGAAACAAGTCACCCCACCCAGGAGGCCCCACAGGTGAGGGTGGGCACAGTGGCGACAGTGGGTGTCATCTTGTCAGTACACTTTCTGGCTCCCAGGATGGGCCTGGTCCTGGAGGCTGTGAAGACAGGGAAGACCCCACCCCAGGGCTGAGGGCCTCCTTCCTGCCACGCACCTTGTCCCTGCGGAACTCCATCAGCAAGAGTGAGTCTGGACAAGGGCGCGTGGGGTCGGGGGCAGAGGATCTGGCCTGGCTGTCCACCTGAGCCCTCGCCTATGCCCGCAGTCATGTCGGAGGCGGGCAGTGAGACCCTGGAGGACGAGTGGCAGTCCATCTCAGAGATCGCGTCCACATGCAACACCATCCTGGAGTCGCTGTCTCGGGAGGGTGAGGACATGGGGACGGGGGTAGGAGCCAGGGCGGGTTCTTCTCCCTTCTCCTCACCTGCCCACACAGTCCCTGTGTCCCCACAGGACAGCCCCTCCCTGAAAGTGGAGACCCCAAGGGAGCCCCAAAGGCTGATGCTGAGTAAGTGAGGCTCCTCCCTGGTGCCTATCCTGCCAGGTTCAGCTTTGCCCAAGAAGACAGGCTGGGCTCCTCTCACCCACGTGGAGCTAGGATGTTGCCCTGGCCTTGGGGGCTGAGTCCAGATCCCTTTGTCCCCAGGCCAGAGCCAGGGAGCCTGTCAGAGAAGGTGTCTCACCTGGAGTCCATGCTCAAGAAGCTGCAGGAGGATCTGCAGAAGGTAAAGGGCTGTGGGTGCCATGGGGGTTGTGTGTTCAGGCTGCCCTGTGGAGGGGCCAGCTGCTCTGACTCTGCCCATCGTGTTGCCCCAGGAGAAGGCAGACAGGGCAGCCCTGGAGGAGGAGGTGAGGAGCCTGCGGCATAACAACCTGCGGCTGCAGGCTGCGTCCGAGAGTGCGGCCACCCGCCTGCTCATGGCCTCCAAGCAGCTGGGCTCGCCCACCACCGACCTGGCCTGATGCGGGTCCAGCCCATAACTGTCCAGGCCGCCCTGGGCCCTCGGCCCTCCTCAGGAACGTTCTCCCCATGCGGAGGATGTATCTAGCACTGCCCCCACTCCCCTGCCCAGCATCTGGTGGCAGCTTTGCACCCATTCTGTCCTTGTTTGTAAATATTCTTCAAAGAAAAGGGGACTTAGGGAGTAAAGAGGCCTTTGCCATTTGTGTGTGTAAGCAGGTCTCCACTGTTTGTGACACGAGGTGGGGGGTGTGTGTGTGAGGGGCCCCAGCCTGGCTCCAAAGACCATCGTGAAGAGCAGGCACCAGGGACACTGACTCAGGGTTATGTTGGCTGGCTGAGGGGTCTTGGAGGCTGGGTCACCTTTGTTTTCTTCTGGAACATCTTGTGTTCTTCTCCTTTTCCTTACACTTGCTTTGTTTCATCTTCAGAGCCAGGCCCAGCTTCCCTTGACCTGGGACTGTACCTGGGGAGCTGGGATCGAGAGCAGGAGGCACACCTGCAGGGCAGAGGAAGGCAGAGTGTGGGGCTAGAGAGAGCCAGATTAGGCCCCCTTGAAAGGCCCTGCACCCTGGCACCCCTTGGCTGAACCTGCTGAGTACCAAAGGTCCAGTTGGTGAGGAGGGAGCTTTCCTTCCTCAGAGGGTGTTTTCATGCCCCCAAGGAAATGGCCCTTGACCCAAGTGTCCTCAGCCCATGACCTACCTGTTTCTCACGAGGTGGGACCTTTCCCGTGAGTCGCATCAGCAGGCCCAAGCTGGGACTTGGTTTGAACCCTTCATTTTCTGGGCCTGAGGCCCAGGGAGGGCACTGGCTTGCGCAGCGTTCATGCCTGCCGAGCCCAGCTCCCTCTCCACACTGGCCGAGGCTTATCTGTGACAGGGCTGTGGAGCTGTTAACTCAGACTCCGGAACGACGAACTAGGGGACAGGAATCCATGCTGGGGAATCAGGAGGCTTCATGGAGGAGATAGTAAGGCTGAGTTTTCAAGGTAGAGTCACTAGTTCTTGGAGAAGAGAACCAGTCCTGGGACCTGTTGGACTGGAGTCTGGACACATGAAGAACCCACAAGGCCATGGCCGGATCAGAAATCACCTCAAGGATCCTAGACTGATAGCTGCCAACTCTGAGTCCTAGCCTTCCCTCTGCCATGTGGCAGGCTCTGGTCACACTTCCAGAGTGTGCCAGTCGGCAGTGTGCATGTCTGAAGGAGAATGCCTGAGTTCCTGTGTGGGCGGGTGGGCTGGGAGGTGGTGCAGGCTACAGCAACAGCCTTGCTGGGGGTGACACAGCTGAAACTTGGAGGTAGTGATGGAGATGGGGAGAATGGGCTGTCTCCCCAGGACCTGAAGAGAGACAGGACCCCAGGGACAAGGGAGAGGCAGCCTCCACACTGATGTTCTGGTTTCCGGCGGGAGCCCTGGGAGGAGGAGAGGTTGGCTGAGGTCACTGGGAGCAGGGGAGTTAGGGAGAGATGTTCTGCGGGGACACAGAAGGGAGGACGAGGACTAGTGAGCTCACAGAGGGAGGCGTGTGGGAAGGACCGTGAGAGGCTTCTGGGGGTTACAGGAGGTCACCGTCACCGAGGGCAGCCAAGGGACCGAGATCTGGTCACCGCTGGACCCCAGACTGGGCTCAGATAGACGTGGGCGTCCTCTCAGTTTGGGCAGATCATTCTTTCCCCGCGGGGTCCCACTTGGGGGCTCGGGTCTATCCGCCTTTCCACCGTGTGGAGCTTGGCCTCTCCCCCAGTGGTTGCAGGCTTGGGGCGCAAAGCTAGACCGCTGCAGCCCACCCTGGCGGCACCCCGCTGCCTGAGGCCGCCCCGGGCGAGGCGCTTCCCCGGGGCTCGGCGGACACTCTCCAGCATTTAGACGCCGTCCAGCCCTCGGAGGACTTTCTGAACATCGAGTTTGGCTGTGCGCTCGGCGCGCTCTACACTCAGGCGCAGCAGAGGAGGCGGGGCCTGGGTGGCCGGGCCTTTCCGGGACCCTGCCTGGTGCGCATGCGCTGGGCCAAGCCGGACGCAGACCCGGGCGGCCGCTCTAGCTCGGGCCGTGGTCCAGCCTTTGTTCAGCTTCTCTGCGATCGCAGATTTCCATACGCATAGGCCATGCCTGACGTCTCCCCTTTACCAAAAAAGGCAAACTCCCCTCAAGCTGCCCAGGAAATGTAATGTGCCATCGGCGACTCCTAGCGATCCTATGTACCGCAGCTCTGAAGCCTGCCCTGTCCTGAGCCAGTCCCCCTGACTCCGACACACCCACCCCCACTGCTCCCCTTATTGTATCAACCCATCTCTTCGAGGTCTTCCTCTCAGAGCTGAACCTCCACTCTTCCAGGAAAGGAGTTCCGTCCTTTAGGCTTCAAATTCCCAGGCCCCTCCAAGTTCTTTCATCCTTGCTCAACACTCTGGGGGTCCACACAAACTGCGCCTTCCCACTGGGCTCTCACCACGTGCGGCTGGCACCTCCCCCCAAATCCATGCTAATGACTAGGGGTTTCTGCTGACCCCTTGGCCAGCCAGGTCTGCAGTGACTTGACCAGCACCATGGCTATTTGATGAAAGAAGGTGAAGCTCTGGCCAGCTTGGCAACAAATTTATTAGAGTAGAAAGAGCAAGAGTCCAACTGCTTTGATTATTTCCCTCCGGACTGGAGTGCGGCCAGCCTCCCCCTCCCCTCCTCCAGTCCACTTGTCCCACAGTGAAGGCACTTAAGAAACCGGGAGCAAGAGTTTGCACCACAGATGGAAACTCTGGATCCTGGAGGGTCCAGCGCGGTCCCATCAGCTTTCTCTGGCGGCTGCTGGGCATGGGGAGGGCTGGCAGGGACATCTGCGTGGGAAGGCCAGGGCCTCGATGCTGGTGTTAGGGACAAGGTCAGTGCTAGTGCCACCACAGACGTGGAGTACAGGGTGTTCTCTGGTTCAATGGGTGGCTTAAGGAAGACACTTGGTAATAAGGCTTTGCAGGCCCTGGGGCCACCGGCTGTGGTCCGCCCCTCCCCTAGGAGAGTACTAGAAGCTGGAGAGTGGGGGTGGGCACCCCCAGAGTTCTCTACAGGGAAAAGAATGGCCCATCAGGACCCAGGAAGAGTTTGATCCTTCCAGCTCCTTCCTCTTCAGAGACATTAATGCTTCTGCTTAAGCACCTCCAAAGAGAGACAGATAAGATACTGTTGATAAGAGTAAAATGTGCCCCGGAAGAAGATGCTGCCCAGAGGAGCATGTACCCCAGAATCCGTTAAGTGCCTTGGGATGGGGCTCCAGGAAGGATGCTGCTTCCCCTTAGGAGCTGATCTGATTGAGCAGAGCTGTGAAGTCCATGTCTGCGATGGAGGAGAAGTCTTCATCCCCTGTGAGGAGACCATTGGAAAGCCCTGAGACGCCCAGGGGGGCGGGTGCTGGGTCGGGTGGCCTCTGAGAGCCTGTCACCAGGCGAGTTATAGCTTCAGGGTACTCCATGAGCATGGGCTCGGCTGAATGAGGGGCCACGGACACGCCCTGGTTCAGCAGCTGCTGAAACTCCGAGTTGTCGACGGACGACAGGTCTGTGAACACGGCTGGGTCTGTGCTGCTGCCCAGCAGAGAGCCCAGGTCTTCATCGGCATCAAACTGCAGCTGCAGCAGGGCCTCCGACAGTATCCCTTCCCCGGTGTTCCTGGCGGTCGGAGCTGCAGCCTGAGCTGGGCCTGGGGCTGAGGCAGGGGCTTGGCCCAGGACAGGGGCTGGGCTTGGGGCTAGAGCTGCTGCCATGGCTGAGGCAGGGGCCTGGCCCAGGACAGGGGCTGGGGCTGGGGCTGGGGCCTGGCTTGGCATCTGCCCAGAAGAAAACATCATGGGAGAAAACTCCTCAAAGTTGATAGTGCTGAGGGATGGCGTAAAAGCATAGGGCTGCGGGGCTGGAGAAGAGAGACAGACAAGTGGAGTCAGTGCAGGTTCCAGAGATGAGGCCCTGGACCCCAGCCCGTCGATGGCTTCAATGCCAACACCCTCAGTCCCTTTATCTACCTGACCCGCCTGGAAGGTCCAGTTCTCAGCCACCTCCTCCTGGGTGCCCTCCCTGACCACTCCAGCCCATACAGCTTGTCACCTCTCCCTACTTAAGGTGCTTCCAGCACTTTCAGGGACCAGCCTCCCTGTGAGGAGCCCCGCAGGCAATGGTCACTGAGTCAACCTTCAGAGATGACTCTGCTGCCTCCCTGGTTCAGCTGAGAGCAGGGGGCAGCACTGTTGAAGGGCTTGCAGGGTTTGGGGCATCTGCCCCCCTGGGAAGCCACACAGCTACGGGTCCTACTCTGCTCAGTAGGGTGCAGGGATCTGCCCTTCCTTCACCCCCAGAAAACCCCCTCATGCTCTGAGGAAATGGCCCCTCAGCTAGGGAGTTCCAGCCAACACCTGCAGGCAAGGCTGACTCCCGCGCTCACCTCCACGGGACAGAGGGCAGCCTTACCTGGCTTGGGGACAGACGCTGAGCTGCGAGAAGGCACAGCGATGCGCCGGGATGGAGGTCTTGGGTCTGTGGGTCCTGCCGGACAAGGGCTGGGTCAGCTCTCTGGGCCCTCACCCTCCATCCTCCCCTCCCCGGCTCGCCCCGCGCCCCCGTCTCACCATTGAAAGGACTCTTCTTCATGATGCTCTTGAAGGTCTCGTATGTCCTCTTTCGCTTCTCCTCAATCCGGTGGCGATCATCTGGGAAGATGACAAGGGCGGTGGGTCTCACTCTCCTCAAAAGCACCTCCAGAGGACAGTGACCACGCACTGCAGGCAGTGACAGGGGCCCTGGCACTGATGGCTTTCCAAAGAAGGTCTCCGTTGCTTAAATTCACCCCTTCTAAGGCTATGCTGCTGCTGTTGTCGTTGTTAGGTACCATCATGTCAACTACATTCACTGTGACTCTGTGAGCAGATCTGAACTTTTCCCTGCTGGGTTCTGTACCAGCGAGTTGGAACCGACTCATCACCGACCTTGCAGCCCCAGTTTTCAGGGGCTGTAAATCGCCTGGAGGAGACTGTCCATCCTTCTCCAAAGGAGCAGCTGGTGAATTCTTACCGTTGGCCTCGCGGTAAGAAATTGTGCTGTAATCCCAAAGGCATTCAGTTCAAATCTACTTCCTGCTCTTTGGAAGAAGGATAGGCAATCTCCTCCTGCGCGACTACAGCCTCTGAAAACCTGCTCGAGGGTCAGCTACGGTTTGGTTTCAGCTCGATGGCACTCAACAAGGCTATGTGGGTGACGCGAGGTACCAGGGCTACACTCCGGGGGTCAGGAGCTTCACAGGGGCTCTAGCCTCTGGCTCCGCCCACCCACACTGCCCGGTCCTCGTGTGTCTCCAGCCTCCAGCCAGGCCAGGCCCATGTCTCACTCCTGCTTGAGTGCAATTGGTGGCTCCTCTTCTTTGCTGGTTTGATGGTCTTGCAAACTGTCTAGCAACCCCTCAGCCCTCAAGCAGCCCTGATCTGTCAGTCCCAAACCTACTTCTTCCTCTTCTTCCACTGTCCCCTCACCACCATCTTGGTCTGTCTTCAAAGTTTGAACTGTAGTTGTTGTCAGGTGCCATGCAGTCGAGTGAGACTCACTGCACCCTATGAACCAACCTGAACCCTGCCCTATCCTGTGGCACTCTTAACATCTCTAAATACTTGAGTCTAATGCTGTCGTTGCTACGTCAACCCATCTTACAGTCACCCTCAAAATCCCCTCCTTGTACTCTGAATGAACTAGGTCGACACGTATCCGCCAGCACCAGGCATTGTAACCAGTGGGGAAAGAGCCACGAGTCAGTATCCAGGTGCTGTCGTCAAAGAGCTGACACCCTGGTAGGAGGGACAGACACACAGCTGTGTGCACGCGGAAGTGAGGGGGCTCTGGGAAGGCACGAGGGACGGCACTGAGGTGAGGCAGGGAGCTAGGTCAGAGGTCAGGGGAGAGTTCTCGGCCGGGCATGTACAGCCCTCGGCCACACATCCACCCAGAGGCAGCAGCTCTAGGGAGCACAGGCCCTGAGGGGTCGTGCGGGCTGCAGGAAGGAGCTGAGGAGGAAAGGTGGGGACACGGCGGTCTCACGTCACCATTCTTGTGGGGCCCACACTGCCTCTTTGCGAACGACTGGTTTGATTGAGCAGACTCATTCCTCCCTCCGATGGTTCCACTGTTTGGTTTGTGGCTTGAAGAACTGTTTTTCTAACAGCTTCAGCTCCTGGACATGACCAGTGCAACATCATCCAAAGCAGCCCCCAGCTCAGGTCTCTTGGACCCTTGGAACAAACTGTTGCTGGAGAACGCTTCTAGATAATGTCCTTGACCCTCCAGAGTTCCCCTCAGCCTCAGGCTGAAACCCTGCCGAAGTCTCTGCCTTCAAGTTCAAGTTCTCCTATGCCAGGCCTGCTCACTGCCCAATGTTCCCTCCCATGACAAAGCGGTGCTGACCTCTCCAGATGGTGGCCCACCCGCTCCAGAGTGTCTTCCTCCAGTTCCAAGGCTCCTCCTCCAGGCAGCTCTCCAGCCCCACCTCTGCTCCCCCAGCACGCCACACACACCACCCATGGTTTCACCCGTCAACCCGTGACTTAAGGATCTGTTTTGCATGTCTGTCTTCCTTATGTGACCGCGTTTTCAAAGGGCAGGGCACAGGGCTTACTCATCTTGGCATGGACAGTACCTGGCAGGGGCCGTTGGCACCCAGTGGGCACTTGGTAATTGTCTGTGGGATAAACTGATGGCTGTGTTTCTGCTGCCCTGCCCTTCAAGCTCTATAAGACTGTTTCTAGAACATGGAATGCTCACAGGACAGAGACCAGCCTGGGCTGGTGACCATCCTGGCTGTCCTGCTGTGGTCAGATGCCTGACAGGCTGACACGCACGGCCCCTGGGGTCACAAGCTGGTCCAGCTGCCAGTGTGCTAGGTGACCGCCAGCAAGTTAAAGCATGAGCCCTCAATTCCCTCCCCCAAGAGGCTGGTGAGAGATTAAGATCGACAGTTCACGGAAATGCTTGGGATAAAGCCAGACGTCTAGGAAGATTCCCTGTGTCTTGGCTATTATCATGGCTGCTTTACCAAGAAGATAAACACTGGATACTGTGTGTGTCATGAGCCCTGGCCCCTGCTGCCCTATCAGCTCCAGCCTTACTCAGTCCTGGCCCCCATTTCCTCGAGGGGAGCCCAAACACCCTGCTGCCACCTCCTGGGGGTAACCTGAGAGGTTACCTGTGTCTGGCAGGTACTGGAACTCCATGGGCTCACTGAGCTCTCGGTCAGAAGGCCGCCGCAGCTGCATGGAGACACGCACGGGGGCCTGCAGGCCGGGGTCCGCATACGGGGGTGTCCGGAACACAATGGCCACTTGCCGGTGCACATCGGCCTGAGAGAAGGAGCCTCGGGCCTCCCAGCCTGGCCCTGTGAAACACACCTCGATGTCCTCTGCAGGAGGGAGAGATGAAGTGAGTCAGTGAACCCAACAACCTCTGAAATGCTCGATACTGAGATCTATCCCATTGGTGCCCTGAGACTCCCCAGGTGCTGGGGGTGGAGGTCAGAGCCAGAAGAGGGCCCTCACGCCTGAGCACCACCTCGCCCCCACCTCCTGCGCCACAGCCCCGCCCTGCCTCCAAGTGTGTACCTTTCTGCACCTTGTCACACAGCAGGAAGATCTCATCCCCGCCCAGGCAGCTCCCAGAGTTTCGGTTCACTCGGCAGATCTTGAGTTCAGCAGTGTTTGGGGCGCCTGGGGGTGAGGGGGGTGAGGAAGGAAGCCCTGAGCCACCAGAGGTCCCTGGGGCTGACCTTCCAGAGACGCCACCTCCCTGCAAAGCTCAGAGTCACAGGGGTGGTCAGAGCTCGCTGACCTGCAGCTCCTCCCCCAGCCAGCTCAGAGACTGCATCTAGCAGCACCCACTGTGCACCCAGCCCTGCTCCGGCCGCTAGGACACAGCCACTGAGAACCCGGATGTCCCCACCTTGTGGAGCCGAGAGTCCACTGGGAACTACCCGATCGTACCCCGCTCCACCTGACACAAGTCCTTTTTAAGGACCTCCTCACACTGTCCTGGGAAGAGAGGCCTGCCCTGAGCCCCAAGTCAGGAACAGAATCAGGAGTACAGGAAGATCTCAGTGAGTCTGGATAATTATTATTATAATTATTAAATAACACATAAAACAGATCCTTTCTTTGGGGCTCCAGGGCCCTCTGATTTTCATCTAGTCTGCTCTGTACTTAATTATAAAATGCTGTTGGCCACTCTCAGCCCAATTCATCACTGAATGACTGTCTCACATCACCCTGTTCCTGGAAGGCCAGTTCCTGGAATCTCTAGTCTGACCTGGGCACACAGCTCCCTGCTTGCTTGAGAAGGGTGTCCTGCTCCAGCTCCCCTCACACACAGCTGGCAGTAGGGGCTGCCCTTTCCCCAAACCTTATCACATGCCATCAAAGTGCCTGTCCTTCACCTGCACAGACCTAACACACAGCCATGCAAGAGGACAGGATGACGCGGATGACGCAAGGGCACCTTTACTGGGCCATGCCCCACCCTAAGCCCACCTCTCCCCTTCTGCCAGCTCCCTGGCCACTCACGATTGTCAAAGATGGGGTGGGAGAGGACAGGTGGCAGGCGGAGGGGCCGGCCTGCCGGGTCACGCACGGTCACCTGGAAGCAGAGCCGCACGGCATTGAGGTCGTAGTCCCCGCGCTGCTCTTCTATGGGAACTGTAGGGGAACCGGGGTACAGGCAGTCAGGAGGGGCGGGGGCCTGGGCAGGGCGCTCCGGGCTACAGGGTTGTGTGAGGGCATGTAAACAGTGGGAGGCATCCTAGAGAAGGAAGAAAGAAGGTTCTAGACTCATCACTGACTGCACCTGTGACCCTGGATGTGGGAGCCCTGTTAACTGGGGTGCATACTGAATGGGCAGCATGCTCTTCTCTGTGCTGTGATTCTTGGTCACGGGGGGCGGGGGGGGGACAACAACGACGACATGGGAAAGACGGCTCGGGTGATGGGGCTTAGGCCTTCCTACCCCCGGCCCCTCACCTTGGAAGGGGTTGTTGTTGGTCTGGATGCGCTGGCTGATGGCCTGCTCCAGGTCCCGCTTCTTCACACACTGGATCCCCAGGTTCTGGAAGCTGAGACAGGCCCCCCACAACCCTGAGCATTACAACTGCATCTCTGCCAAAGCCTGGGCCTTCATCCCTCCCGAAGATCATCACCCTCTGCTTTGGCTCCCCACCACACTGCAATGAAACCCCCATTTCGGAGTTCAGCTCACAAGCACGAGCTGATCCCACCCTCACCGAGCCCCTCTCGCCACACAGCCTCCTTTCTGCTCCTCAGATGCTACACATCCCACGTCTTGGCCTTTGCACTTGTCCTTCTGCTTAGAGCTCTCTTTTTTGGCTTCTCTATTTTTCATCATTTAAGTTTTAGCTAAGAAAAGCCTTTCCTGAACTTTTTTTTTTAAAATTTTTAATGATTTCCTGAACTTCTGCTCCAAAGCAGTGACCCTGCCTGGGGTTATTGTCCAACCGACTGTGCTCATCACGAGTCGATTCTAACTCACAGTGACCTTACAGGACATGGCGATCGCACAGATCTGGACAGAACTGCCCCACAGCCCTTTCTAGGATGTAAGTCTTTATGGGAACAGACTACCCGGGTATTTGTGTTGTTTTTTATTTCCTCCCACAGATCGGACAGTGGGTTTGAACCACTGCCCTTTCAGTTACCAGCCAAACATCTAATCATTGTGTTACCAGAACTCCTTCCAACTGCCTTCATATCGTATCGTGTTTTATTTCTATCACTGGAATGATTGCAGTCCGTTATCAGCTGATTAGGAAGCTCTGGTGGCCTAGTGGCAAGAAGCTGTGTTGCAATATCTCAAAGGCACATGGTTCAAGAGCACCAGCGGCTCCGGAAGGATGGACAATCTCCTCCCGTGTGATTTAATGGCCTCTGAAAACCTGCCAGAGGCTCAGCTACGGGTCAGTTCCTCCTCTACAGTACACAACAACAACAACAACAACAAGACCGCCACCACTACCACCTCATCTGATTAAGGACCTCTGCCCCCCTAGTGGTAAAGAGTTGCACTTCTACCCTAAAGGCACACGGTTTGAATCCACTAGCTGCTCCATGGGAGAAAGATGGGCAATTTGCTCCGACAGGATTTACTGCCTCTCAAGACCACTGGTCAGCTATGACTCAGTTCCAACTAGACAACACGTAACAACAACAACATTAACCAACTGTTTGGAAAAGTAGACTGTCTTGCTGAGGAAGACCTTCTCCTGAAGAAGACACTGCAACTGCATGAAGGCTTGAGCGATGGAAATCGTGAGGATGGCACGTGACAGGGCAAGTCTTCAAGTCGTTACTCCTAAGCTGACTCGATGACAACTGACAACGTCATCTTGTTTACTTATTTGTTGACTCAGGGCCTCGCTCTGTCACCTCTAGGGCGTCAGCTCCAGGGGAGACGGTTCACTCAGCACAAGAGATGTGACACTGACAGACCCACCTGTCCAGCCATAAGACAGGGGTGCTGAGGTGATTAAGGTCCTCAGGAGCCTACCGTTGCTACAGAGAGTGAGCCCACAAACAGGCTGCTTCAAAACGAAGAAGCTAAGGGCTAGAGCAAGGAGTGAGGGACTCTCCAAAGCGGAGAGCTATGTGACACCTGTGACACCTGCCTCCTGATCCCCCCAGGCTGCTCACCTGTGGACATGGCTGCCTGTCCCCTCGGTCTGAACGGGGCTCACCTGTGGATGCAGCGATCTGGGCAGAGCTCCGCCTCATAGAAGCCATCCCGGCAATCCTTTCCCACAAGCTCGTGAGGGTGAGGCCGGTGAGGGGGGTCCTTGGTGACCAGAGAGATGCGAACTGTCCCTGGCCCTGTGTATCCATTGATCTGTGCAAAGTACAAAGGACACCCTAGAGGGTCAAGAATTCCAAGCCCAGCTTCCCGACAGGGCACAGAGGCCCGGGGAGCTCCATAGACCCCCTAGGTCACTTGGTCTCCAGGCAACCCCTGGGCGCACCTTGATGGTGGGGTGGGTCTTGGTGGTGTCCGTGCTCCTCTCGCCCGGGATGCTGCCCGCAGAGCGGCCCTCGCACTTGTAGCGGAAGCGCATGCCCCGCTGCTTGGGCTGCTCGATGATCTCCACATAGGGGCCGGAGGCCGGGGCAGGCTCTGCGGACACAGCACCCCCATGAGCAGCTGTCACCCCCACACCTGGGGGATCCGCCCCAGCCACTAAGGGTGGGCAGCCCACTTACCAGAGGGGAAGATGAGGGGGAACAGGTCTGCAAGGGGAGGAAGACAAGAATCAGAACAAGCGCACTGTCTATGCTCACTGCTGCTCCCCACGGCGGGCTCTGGGGTGGGGGGGACATATAGTGGGGTGGGGGGGTCATGGAGCCAGGCTCCCACCACCGGACACTAAGGGCTGCTCCCAGACCTGCCTGAAATCACAGGCGTGCGGGGCCCAGCAACACCTGCTTCTTGCGGGACAAGGAGCTCAGTGCCTTTCCTCCCTTAATCGAGGGAAACTGAGTCAGGGCCCTTTCTACTTTCAGAAGTAGATGAAGGATGAACACTGACCAAGGGCGTCCCCGTCTCTACTCCTGCGGGGAAACCGAGTCAGCCACACTTTCCCCAAACGGGGCAACTAGAGTTGCCCCCATAAACCAGGGAGGGAAACTGAGGCATGGCTCCTCTGATCGCTCCCCCACCTAGCAAGAAAATGAGTTGGGGCCCTCCTCCACCCGGAGGGGAAACTGAGTCAGCCCCCTGGCCGCCCGCCCCGCCCCGCGCCCCCATCCGGCCCGGCCGCTCCCTGCGCAGCACCCGCTGGCGCAGGCAGGGCGGAAGGCGAGCGAGAGCTCTCGCCGCGGCCCCAGCAACCCCTCACGGCCACCCCCCGGGGTCCGAGACCGCCCTCACCGTCCATGGCCGGGGTCCTGGGGGCGGGGCCGGGGTCGCAGCTGGGCCGGCGGCGCG